AATTTTTTCGGTCAAATTTGACCGGTAAATTGGCCGGAGTGACCAAAATTGAGAAAAATTAAATACTCAAGGTACTAAATTGATACTTTTAAAAGTTAGGTGCTGAAATTAACAAGGCCACTATAGTCGTGTGACCAAAATTGAAATTTTCTCGTTAACTAAACGAGAGACAAGACTTAGAGATAGGTTGAGGGTTCACAAAGGTAAGTCAAGAAAGAAAGATAAGGTGATAGATAAAAGATTTACCGGAAAGGAAAGCTGACTTCACACCGAGCCTAACTCCTGCTCAAAACTAGCCAACGATCTACTCAAAACGAGACGATTCAGCTAAGGAACAAGCCACAAACAGGAACTGACACCACAAGAACCCTAAACTAGATCACTCGGGATCACAGAACCAGGGTTGCATCTTCAACTGATCTCTGCTGACTTCTTTAACCAAAGGAAACAACGTAAACACACTACACAACTTGAGATCGGCATCCGCTTAAACTTGGCCTTTCACTTCCACACAAAGACTGCAACTGTCAGCTTCAAAACACGAGCAGGATGAAATTCTCCCTAACTCTTGGGCTAACTTGATGCAGCCTGCCAACTTAACACTTGCATTAGCACACCACTTCCAACTCTCCACAAAGCAACGCTTGAAAACTCCAAGGCTTCGGTTCGGATGAAAGACCAAAACAGGAACGGTAACAACGGAGGAAGGTAACTTAGGGGAAGAACGTTCACAAAAAGGGATTCGGTTCAACGGAAAGGATTGGAGCGAAAGGTTTGAGTTCAGAAACTCAAGGACCACGTTACTTAGGAGTAGGATCAAAGTCATCAAAGTTGCAACTTAGGAAATAAGGTTTCCACCTTGCACAGAATCGTTAGAAGCGGGGAATATAAGAACGAGTGATTTGAAGCAGGAGTTATGTGATTTGAAGCGGGGAATCGCCACCAGCATACAGCGGAAGAAGCAAATTGCTGACCTATGTGATTTGAAGCAGGAGAGCTCGGAATCACTAGCCGAGTACCTCAGCAAATTGAAGAAAGCGGCCATGGGGGTCGCCAACTTTGATGGGAAGTCGACCATGGTGATTTTCCGAAACAACTTGAGGTCAGGCGCATTCCACCCGGACCTCATCAGGTACCCCCCAGGACCTATACCGATGATAGGCCTAGAATATGTGCGTATTATATATATTATTCCATTGTGATTTTAGGTTCATTATTATTAAATTGGATTAATTTTGAGTTAAATCTTATTAATTGTGCACTCTTTGACAGGTATGGACTTAATTGAGGGGAATCATGAGTTTTGGGGTCAAATTGCAAGAAAGCTTATTTGATGATATAAAGATGTGTTCAATTGAAAGAAGATTACAAATTTTAGGGGTGAATATGTGAATCTTAAAAAGCTTTTGGTTAATTCTGGAGGGTTGAAAATTTACAAAAGAAAAGGGAAATTATTTGGTTTTATTGGCGCAGCAGAGAAAGGAAAAGAAAGGGGATTATATATATTAAGTTAGGGGTTGCTTTTGTTTTAAGAAGGAGAGAGACGGCAGAATATTGGAGACGGAAGCAAACAGAAAAAAGAACGAGGAGGAAGATCACGAAAGTTTGGGAGCGGCGGCGACTTCAGGGACTCCATCGCAAGGAATTTTCAAGCTTCAATCGCAGCTATCGTCTCCTAGACTTGAATTATTTTTCTTCCTTACTTTATTTCTTGTTTAAATTTCCAAAATAATGTTTCTTAAACTTTACATACATTTAATTATGATTATTGACTAGAAATTTAATTAGAGATTTGGATTAGCCTAGATTAGATTAATTGACTACTTTTTCATGTGTTGATTCTTTCAATTTCAATTTAATAATTGAACTTGATTATATTTATTTTATTTATTTTAATTGTGAATTGTGTGACTGGCCACTGCATAATTCTAATATTAGGGCTCATAAGAAGAACTGACAGGTGAATTATGAACCTAGAACTCGTAAGATAAACACAATTGACCTGGACTAGACATAGCTTTAGGTATTTGTGGTGAGATTTGATTGTTGCTTAATGGGTTCAATTAATGTTGGTGAGATATCAACGGATGATCACAGTTAATTGGATACAACCTAGTAGCTCGATGGAGTATTAGGATATAATTGGAGCAATCATCACTATAATTACAAGAATTAATATTTAGGAGAGTTAGTTAATTATCTAATAGGTGAACCCCAAATCCCTAGTCTTTTCTCAATTGAAAGTTTCCCTCTTCTTTAAATTCATAAATATTTTGTTTAATTACATTAATCCTATTTATATGCATCTTTCTTTATTAACAAATTGATTATTTAAGTTAACAGTCAATAGTGTTCTTCGTGAGATCGACCCTGAAATACTCCAGGAATTTATACTGTGATTGACTCTGTGCGCTTGCAGATTATAGCAATCAACCGACCTGATGGATAAGGCAGCAAGGTACGCTGACGCCGAGAAGAGGAAGAAGGAGCAAGAGGAAGGAAGAGGTCGAAAAAACAAGGCACCCCAGGAGGAGCGCAAGGCGCCACGGCCACACCGATGTGAGTACGCTGAGGGGCCCAGGTTGAACCCCACACGCTATCTCACCCCGCTGACACAGCCTGTGGGTATCATCTTGGCGTATGCGGAGGACCAGGGAATCGTGGTATTCCCAAAGGAGGAGTGCATGAAGATATCGGCAAGGGGGGACCCCAACAAGTATTGCAGGTTCCACCGACAGAAGGGGCACGACACAGACGAATGCATCCTCCTAAAGAGACAAATCGAGGAGCTCATACAAATGGGTTACCTCGGCCAGTTCATTAAGAAGCCCGGCCAGGCGCAAGGACAAGCACAGGGCCAGAAGCAGGGCAATGTATGGAGGAAGGGGGTGGCCAGACGCCATCCACCTCGGCTCCCTGTAAGAGGGACCACCACGACCACAGCTCCGAGGAGGAGGAGAAGACAACGGAGGACTCCCAGCCCCCGAAGAAACGGGTCAGCTACATCATCTTTGGGGGGCCCGAGGGAGGGGACTCGCCAGCCGAGCGGAAGAAGTGGGCGAGGAGCTTGTACGTAGGGGAGGTCACACGTACCCCCCATGAGAAGAAACCAAAGAGGGAGCCCATCACGTTCACCGACGCCGACCTGCCAACAACATGGTGGTGCACCGGGTGCTCGTAGACACGGGTAGCTCGGTGAACCTCATGTACTACGACACGTTCACCCAGTTGGGACTTTCAATAGGGTAGCTGGAGCAAGTACGGACCACCCTGTCTGGGTTCACAGGGGACTCAATTGAGACGGAGGGGTCGATCAATTTGGAGGTGGAGATAGGCACCCCACCTCACACCAGGAGGTGGGAGGTCGAGTTCGTAGTCGTCAAAATCAGCTGCGCCCACAACATTATACTCGGCCGACCCGCCCTAGAAGACCTCAGGTGCGTGATTTCCATGGAGCACCTGTGCCTCAAGTTCCCGACACCAGCCGGGGTCGGGGTCGCCCGGGGGACCAAAAGGTGAGCCGCAGCTGCTACTTAAAGGTGTGCCGCCAAATTGGTCAGAAGGACCTCCAGGTCCACACCATAGCCGAGACGGCATTTCGAGAGGAAGCAGGTCGACCTCGAGCCGAGCCCGTGGTCAAGACAGAGGAGGTCATCCTCGACCTCAGCCGACCCGACTGGGTCGTGAAGGTAGGGGTCGGCCTCCCGGCCAAGCTTCGAGCACGAATAATTAACACCATCAGGAGCTACAAGGAGGTCTTCGCATGGACCCCGAGGATATTCCGGGCCTCAGCCGAGACGTGATCACGCACAAGTTGGCTGTCGACCCCGCGGTCAAGCCAGTCCAGCAGCGCAAAAGGTACCTCTCCGCCGATAGGAGGGAGTTCGTCAAAAAGGAGGTCGACACCCTGCTGGAGATCGGTCATGTTAGGGAGGTCATATACCCCACCTGGCTAGCCAACGTGGTCCTCGTCTCAAAGCCACCCACCTAGAGGATGTGCGTGGACTACACCGACCTCAACAAGGCCTGCCCCATGGACCCCTTTCCTCTCCCCAACATTGACCAGCTGGTGGACGAGACCGTAGGTTGTGCCCTCATGAGCTTCCTAGATGCGTTCAGGGGGTACCAACAGATTTTCATGGAGGAAGCCGACGAGGAGAAGACAACCTTCACCACACCAGAGGGGGTCTATTGCTACAAGGTCATGGCCTTCGGGCTGAGAAATTCAGGTGCCACCTACACCCGAATGGTGGCCAAGGTGTTCAAGCAGGTCCTCGGTCGCAACCTGCAGGCCTACGTCGACGACATGATCGTTAAGAGCATCGACGCCAACCTCCACACGGATGACCTTACCGAGGTGTTTTCGATGATGCAGCGTTTCAGTTTACGTTTGAACCCCAAAAAGTGCACCTTCAGGGTGCATGAGGGGAAATTTTTGGGGTACATGGTTTCGAAGAGGGGCATTGAGCCCAACCCCGATAAGGTCAAGGCCATCCTGGACATGGAACCTCCGAGGTCCCTCCGGGAGGTCCAGCGCCTCAACGGACGGTTGGCAGCCCTGGGTCGTTTCCTTTCGAGGTCGGCCGAGAAATCTTTGCCGTTTTTTGGAGTCCTCAAAAAGACCAAGGGCTTCGAGTGGTCCGAAGAGTGCCAGAAGGCGTTCGAAGACCTCAAGACGTACCTGATGTCGCTCCCCCCTAGCCAAACCCGTTAAGGGGGAGGTCCTATATTTGTACCTGGGCATCTCGCAGGCCGCGGTCAGCTCTGTGCTGGTCCGGGACGACGAGGCGGTCCAACGGCCCGTCTACTATACAAGTTGTGCTCTGCGAGGGGCGGAGATCAAGTACACACCCGTGGAGAAGGCCATCTTCACGGTAGATGTGACGGCAAAGAAGCTGAACCACTACTTCCAGGCCCACCACGTACAGGTCCTCACCAACCAGCCACTAGACGCAGTACTGAGGGCCTCGGGGTCGGCCAGTAGGTTGGTCAGGTGGGCCATGCGGCTGAGCCAGTTCGACATCCAGTTCAAGCCCAGACCCGCCATCAAAGGGCAGGCAGTGGCTGATTTTATAGTCGAGTGTACTGCCCGGGAGGCCACGGAGCGGGTCCGGGACGAAGACGAGGAGCGGTGGACCCTCTCAACGGACGGGTCCTCCAGCACCAAAAGCTGCGGGGGTGGAGCCGTCCTCATAACACCGGAGGGGTTTCGGGCCTACTACGCCCTCCGCTTCGCGTTCAAATTATCCAACAACGAAGCAGAGTATGAGGCACTCCTGGGGGGGGGCTCCACCTCTCATTAAATATGAGGGTGGAGAAGCTCAAAATCCGATGTGACTCTAGACTCGTGGTGGGATAGGTCACAGGTGAATTTGAAGCAAGTGATGAAAGAATGAGGAGGTACCGGGACGTGGTGCTCCAACTCTTGGGGCAGCTGATCAATTACGATGTCCTACAGGTGCCCCGAGACCAGAACACAGATGCTGACATGTTATCCAAGCTTGCCCAAGGGGCCCCGGAGCATATTTCAAAAATTGCCCGAATTGAAGATTTCAAGAGGTCGAGCCTGGACGCCTACCCGGTCCTACCTGTGCAAATCCGACCTCCCTGCTGGTTGGACCACCTCAAGGAATACAAGAAGACAGGTACACTACCTCCCGACGAGGTCGACGCCAAGTTGGTAAAACGGCGAGCCCCCACGTACGTGGTCATGGGGGACACACTTTACAAGAGGTCCTATAACGGCGCCTTACTACGCTGCCTATACCCGGACGAAGCCAGGTCAATCATGGAGGAAATCCACGAAGGGACCTGTTCAGCCCACCAGGGGGCCTTCGCCATGTCCCGGAGGGCCATCTTACAGGGGTACTTCTGGCCCAAAATGGCCAAGGAATGCGCCGACTACGCCCGGAGTTGCGAGACCTGCCAGCACTTCCAAGTCGCCCCCCGCCAGCCAGCCACGAGCTACACCCCCATCAGCTCGGTCATCCCCTTCTCCAGGTGGGGAGTGGACCTAGTGAGAGCTCTACCCACGGGGTCAGGAAAAAGGAAGTACTTCATAGTTGCAGTGGACTACTTCACCAAGTGGGTAGAGGCGGAACGGCTGGCAACCATAACAAGTGCCCATTGCAAGCACTTCGTGTACAAAAACATTTTGTGCCGTTTTGGGGTCCCGATGCAACTCATCACCGACAACGGACGCCAATTCGAGGGGCAAGAGTTCGAGGGGTTCTTTGCAGAATGGCACATTACTCACAGCCGGGTGGCCGTGTGCTACCCTCAGGCAAATGGGCCGGTGGAAAATGCCAACTGCACCATAGTGGGCGGCCAAAAAAAGAAACTGGAATCCGCGGGGGGGGGCGTGGGTGGAGGAGCTCGACGCCATTCTTTGGGCCTATCGCACCACCCCCCTGAGGGCTACTGGGGAGACACCTTTTTCCTTAGCCTATGGTTTCGAAGCCCGAGCTCCAGCGGAGGTAGTCATACCTTCCCAGCGGGAGGAGGACTACGACCCCGACACGAACGAGGAGTACCATAGAATTGACCTCCACCTGATTGATGACAGGCGCGAAGCAGCTGCGATCCGAGCCGAAAACTACCAGAGGCAAACCAAAGCATACCATGATAAGCGGGTCCGATCCCGCTATTTTCAAGTGGATGATTATGTGCTCAGGAGGAGGGAGGCGAGCTAGCCCCAAGCCGAAGGAAAGTTTGCCGCTAATTGGGAGAGCCCGTACATTATAGCAGCTGTGGTCCGCCCGGACAGTTACAAGCTCAAAACTCCCAAAGGAAAGATGATAGCCAGGGTCTGGAACTCAGAACACCTGCTGAAATTCTACCAGTAGACCTAACACGTGAAAGGTGGACCTCGGCATTGCTATCCTAGGAGGAGGATCATTTCCCTCCCCCAAATAATGTATTAGTAGACGGCAATAAGCGGAATAAAATTTCATGTTATGAAATGTGTTATGAGAAGGGCCCTTTTTACGAAGTGGGTTCTCGTTTATCTATCCTCAAAAAAAAAAAAAAAAAAAAAACCACGTAGAATGTGAGGGAACGAGTGCTCACCCGTTCTCTCCCCCGCGGACCCTAAGGGGGCACGAGGTCCGACCTCGCGTACCAACCCCGACGGAAGAGCCCGGTGGCTTGGTCCGACAGGACTCGGCCTGAGCAGCTAGCGCGCACCCTAAGGGGGCACGAGGTCCAACATCGCGTACCAACCCCGACGGAGGAGCCCAGTGGCTTAGTCCGATAGGACTTGGCTCGAGTGGTTAAGCGCACCCTAAGGGGGCACAAGGTCCAACCTCGCGTACCAACCCCGAAGGAAGAGCTCGATAGCTTGATCCGGAAGGATTTAGCTCGAGCAGCTGACGTACCCTAAGGGGGCACGAGGTCCGACCTCGCGTACCAACCCCGACGGGAGAGCCCGGTGGCGTAGTCTCATAGGACTACGTTAAAGAGGCTAACACATGGCCTAAAAAAATAATAAAAATAAAAAATAAAAAATAAAAATAAAAAGTTAAGGCCTAACGCACCTCGGCACAACACCGGGGTGCACCATGGTCGCACCTCGGCACGTTGCCGAGGTGCACCATGGCACCACCTCAGCAACGTGCCGAGGTCCTTCCGTGCCACACCTCGGCACACTGCCGAGGTCCACCTCGGCACGCTGCCGAGGCTCGGAACCTCGGCCGGCGCCGAGGTCTCACACCTCGGCTGTAACACCCTCCCAAAACAAGCTATATAAAAAGCCTTAACGCATGCAGATACCCCAACAAAAACACTAGCACAGCGGAAGATAAAAGGTAACTGGATAAACGAAAATCCAAACATGGGGTGTTATGCCACGTTTACCAACAACGATAAACGCTACGGCCAAATCTGCATGGTATACAACTATCCCAAACTCACAAGTCTAAAACTAAACCGGCTCACAGGCCGTAAGACAAACGAAAGGAGCTACACTATCGGGCACTAGACATCGCGCTCGTCTAGACATCACCTGAGAGAACACAAATAAACATGGGACGACGCCCGGTCAGAGAATAATGCTGGTAACCCACCAATACATGTGAAATAACATACATAAGTAAGGTATAAATTGTAAAACCATTTTCGAAACGGAATACATATATATAAGTGCAAAACCAAGAGCAATAGTCAACACAAGACTCAACACTCTCAACAAACAACACGGGAACACATCCCAAGACCACAAGAACAACATGACTCACAAAAGAGTCAAGGCATGATCTATCATCACTCAATAGATCAAAACCCGATAAGCACAACGCAAAAGAATAAGAATTACACAACCGGCAACACATGCCTTTGTGACTACAAATGTCACAAGAGAAGAACTCACAACACCGGCTACAATAGCTCTCGTGACATCACCCATCACGAGTTGATATGCCTGCCTTATGCCCGGTTCCAACGTTATGGCTACCCCCAACCTTGTTTCTTCTTTCCAACCATTACCTCCAGGACCCCTGTACTTCTTAGTCCAACCTTTTCCCTCCTGGGACCGTCGTTCCCCACCAACAAAGCCACCAATTTCATAGTACACAAGGTACCGTACACACACACGGCGACACACGCCTTCCCAAGAAAATACGTGAACCTGACACACAGGTCACAACTCCATAATCACGTCACGACCACCACGAGGACCGCTGCAATACCTTGGTGACTAGTGTCCCATACCACTAATCGTGCAATCCAGGTAAAGTCACACACGCATCACACTTCAACAGGAATCAATTAACAGACCACAACGAAGGTACGAAACATACTCAATCAAGGAATGGGTCACAACCCAACAACAACAACGATGAATAACACAAGTTATCATCAACCAATCAGAAGGTACAAACAACACACATGCTAGCATTTAAACACCGAACTAGCATGCTTATGAAACGGGTAAACCAAAGATAGCTCCGAAGAATACACAAGACACATCACGGTTCAACGAAACACAATGTTGAACACTTAGCACGATTCAAGACACCAAAGACCTACACGGATACCTACCACATAGTTCTAGACATACGAAACATCAAGAAGACACTCAAATAGTTCCACAAAAGAACATCGGAAAGTCAAAAAACCAAATACCGAGTCAAAAGAATCACGGGGAACAAATCCCATCACAACACCGAAGTGTTCCCTGCGGGTGGACCCACGGGTAGGCCCCTACCCGTGGTTCCGCCCGCGGGTACACTACCCACGAGGCCAATGTACCTGCGGGTGGGCGGCGGGTAGGCCAAGGTAGATTTTGTAGAGCATGGGTTACCTCTTGTAGACTAAAAGATTTCACTTTACACCTCAACAAGCTCCTCACAAGGCTCACTTTCCAAACCCACTTCAAGAACAAACCAAAAGGTCATAAAGATCCTAGCTTTAAGAAAAGACACCTAAGATGAAACCAAAAACACAAGATAGGCTTAGATCTTACCCTCCTAGATGCCCAAATAGGTGAAAGGTTGAATCTTGGAAGCAACTCTTGAAGTATTGGCAAGGTTTCAACTTAGCTTGGAGGAAAAGCTACTCACCTTTTTAGAGAGAAGGTAGAGCTTAATTTTTAGAAAGTGTAAGGGGTAGAATGAAGATGTCTACTAGGTTAGGTTACAATACTAACACTAGGTGAAAGGTCAAGAATGTCCTTACTAACATTAGGAAATGTAAGGAACAAGGGAACTCCCTTCAAAGCTCAAGGTACAACTTTGACTTTGGAATTGACTAGTCAAATACTAGTCCTCAAGTATTGAATTTCAGGATTTTAGGAATTAATTCCTCAATTGAAATATGATTAATTACTCAATTAATCCATGAATTGAATTTGGATTTTTAGGGTGTCACATCGGCGACCTAAGTTCGAGCACCTCGGCGCCAGCCGGGGGGACTCAAAAAAAAAAAAAAAAAAAAAAAACACACAAGTGATTAAAAGGGAGATAAGCGCATCACATCAACAAAGCAAATGAGCCAATTGTTCATTCAAAATATTCAAGAAACATCCAAGTCTAGTACATCACCAAGGGAGAACAAGGTCGGCTACTTTGAGCTCGGGCCACGTGCGTGAGGAAGGTCGGGGCGCGGAGCAAACCGACCCGGGGGGAGCGGAGCAAGGAGGTGGAGTGGCCCAAGACATCTCACCTCAGCCCGAGACGTCTCACCTCGACCCAAGACGTCTCACCTCGACCCAAGACGACTCACCTCGGCACAAGGCACCTCGACCCAAGACACCTCGACTCAAGACGCCTCGGCACAAGGCACCTCGGCTAAAATTTGGAGCTCGGAATTTTCCACCTGGGGGCTCGGGTCGGCGTACGAATACTCTCATTCGTTGACTCCTACTCGCAACGAAGACAGTGGGGGACTCATGATGGATATATTATACCCACGACCCGACCCGGGGTAGCAACACGGACCCGGAGCACCTTGGTGGAGCCCGAGAGCAACGCGGACCCGGGGCATCACATTGGAGCCCGAGAGCACCCGACCTACGGCACCATGGAGGTGCCCCGACCCGAGCCGACCTCCGTGGGGCTCGGGTCGGGGAGCTCGGTCCTACCCGAGCTCGGGACCCGACCCGACTCGGTCCACCCGGGCCCGGTCAAAGTTGAGATCTAACCACCCCCCGATTTAGGGGGAGGTGGTTAGGGGGTTTAGCTTGTATAAAAAAAACCCCCTCCTTGTCCTAACCAAGGGCAATTCATTCTACGTTATACGATTATTACACACTTTGTCTTATCGAATTTCTGTAATAGCCAAATCCTACGGCAATTAATATAATATACAGTCCCCAGCGACCTTTACGACATCGTTTTATATTTCATTTATATTATTTATATTACGTTCTTATCCGGATTTATTGATTCGGGTCCGCCCCGGGTTAATTAAATCCATCATGTTACATATGTAATTGGTAGGGAATACCCCAACCGACATGCCTTCGTCCTTTTGTTCTTGTTTGTGCAGGTTACAGGTCTGATCTCCTAGAAGAACCCGGTCGGTTGCCGACCGGGCATCACCCGACCGGCGTAGCCAACCACCGAGTGGTAGCCCTTAGGCGAGAGAGCTGAGAAGAGACACGTGGCAGTGCTACGTGCTGACAGGCCGGGCACCCGGGAGGACGACACGTGTTTGCTACGTGGGTGACATGCCGGACGGCCGGATTAGTGTCTCTTGCCTCGCGACTATAAATACCCGCAATAGCAACAGTGGCGGGGACTTTTGGACGATCGATAGGTTGTTATCAGAGCATCCCGACCGCAGTCAGTCGGTACTCAGAACAGTCATTTAGATTGTACTTAGGACCTTCACCTTGATCAATAAAACCTTTATTTGCTTTAATTGGTCGAATATTCTTTAATTACCGCACCACGTGGCAATTAACACTATCAGTAATATTGTTATATTGTTTGTTGTACGTGGCAAAAGTGGCCAGTAGGCCACTAGGCTAGTGGCCTATTGGCCAATTTTTTATTTTTTTTTATTTTTTATTCACGGTTCCAAATCGGAACCGTTCAGTTT